GGATGGGTGGTGGCGGGCTGGGGAAAACCCGGGCGGGGGCGGTCTCTGCTTCTTTCCAGCTGGAGAAGCGCTTTTTGGTTCGGAGTGCGTGTGTGTGTCTGTGTGTCTGTGTGTCTGTGTGTCTGTCTCTGTGTGTGTGTCTGTGGGGGGTTTGTAGGTGTTCCGGCTGGGGCTCCGAATTTTCGTCTGCAGACTCTACTTTTTCTGAAGACCTACATGATTTCTTCCCCTAGAAGGTAGCTTGTTGCTTTCTGGCATATACTTATCTAACTCCCACCCCCGAAGATAAATGTTTCAAAATACTGAGAAGACATTACCACAAAAATCGCTGTGCTGTCGGGAGGACTGGAGGATGTGAGGGCTAGGGAAATTCTTAAAAATACGGCAACTGACATGAATGTTAGTTTCTGTAAATATATATGTTAAATACGTATATAATACAGAGTTCTGTGTAAGCTAGTAACAGGGAAAAATAATAAGGGGTCTTTTTGACAGGACTTTTATTTGCATCTCTTCTCCCTCTCTCTCTTACACATCTTTCTGTTTGTCTCCTCTATATTCTGCTTTTATTACAAGAAGTTTGTTAATACGACATGTCAACGTTGCTGGTTTCAGACTGCAGCACTTTTTTACAAAACCAGACTGAAAAAATTTCCTCAAACCTCCACTTAATGGCACAACTGGTATGTATAAATAAAATCTTCATTATTTAAAGTGACCTGGATGTGGTTTACTCTATAGCCTCAGTAATTTAAACAGCACCTATCTCCTGCAGATAGAGTTGCTATGCACCTCTCTACTAGTGAGTTTGAAAATTCGAACCCGGCTTTGATTTATTTCCTCTCTATCAGTGATTAATGCGCCATAATTAGCTAATCTCAAAGCCATTATTTACAACCGGGGCAGACAAAGGGAAAAACTGATGATCCAGCACTTAACTCGGTTTGAAATTATGAAACTGAAAAAAATGTTTAGGTCTCGTCTCGGAACCGGACAGTCACTCCGATAACAACAACAACAACAATAACAATAACAATAACAACGGGAACAACTTAATCCATTAATTATGACTGATTCTTTTTTCGGCCGAGAATGTACTTGTACCATCAATGACTTTTAAAAAAGTAAGCTGTCAGTCCTCTGTCTGTCTCCTCCTTTGTTGCTGTCTCAAGGAGAGGACCTAAATCTGCTCTGCCCAAACGCGCGGGCGGCGGGCACGGGCACCGAGGAGGAAAAGCCCACGGCCACAGGGGC